AACTCTGTTACAAAGATTGGAGTGAAGTGCAAAAAATATGCAGAGTGTTCTTGATATTTTTGAGCAATTTTTGATCTTGGAAGCCTTCAAATCTAATTTTTGGTTATTGGGAGGTGTTTTTATACTTGAAAAATCAATTCTTCTGACACCCAGATAGATTCTGACCGTTGAAAACAGTTTGGGAGCAATTCTGCTTGTTATTTTATCTTTTAGCATCAGTTCAAACTGCCAAACAGAATGCACTTAGTCGACTAATCGATATCACTTAGTCGACTAAGTCGTTTCTATTTTTGAACTCAGTTTTTGACAATAGACTCTGTCTTTGAGCATTTCTGACAGTACCCTCTTGGTTGACTAACAAACTTTCTTGGTCGATTGAGTCGTTTCTGTTTTTGAACCCGGTTTCTGACAGTAAGCTCTTAGTTGACTAACTCTGTCTCTTGGTCGGCTAAGTGCTATCTGTTTCACGATTTTCTTGAACTCACCAGTTTCTGTTCTGAGTTTCATCCAACCAACTCTCTTGGTTATTCAACTTAGGAGCTTCTCATTCAATTGCTCACTTATAGCTCCTTATTCTTGTTAGTATTGATATTGTCTCTTGAATTTTTAACTAATTATTAAATATATTTGTCTTGCACACTCAAGTGGAAAAGTTAGATATAGATAAATGAGAATGTTTTATTATCATCAAAAACTAATGGAGCCAACAAAAGTGACCGTCCTCAGGTTCCGAACTGACTTTGATTTATTGGTCTCTAAGTATTTACAGAAATATCAATCCCAACTACTGAAGTCTCCTTGTTTTTCCCACCTTGTTTGGACATCAACTACTAAAGTTTTGAAAACTTGGTATCATTAAGTGGAGGTCTAGTAGCAGGGAAAGAATCAATGCATGTCAAGAATTTTACTGAACCTAGCACCGGGCATCAAGCCATGCAATAATATCATTAAGGACAGTAAAAATTCTGTCATCAGGTTCCCCTTCCAGAATGCTGTGATAGCCTTCTTCATATAGCTTCAGAGTTTTGTCCTTGCTCGAGGCGTTTTCATAAAGAAACTGGCTGATTAATGGATCTGTTACCTTATCATCGGCTCCATGAAGAATCAGCAATGGAGATGAAACCTGCAATACTCTGGAATCGCCTCAATTTTTCTTTGTTATAAATATACTCTATTTGTCTAGATTAAATAATGGGAATGCAATAGAACCCTGCTGCAGACATTGGCTAATATAAAGACATATAAAACTAATTAATCATAACTGACCTTCTCGACTTGCATCTCAATTTCCTTGGTGGCCTTTAAAAGTTCAACAGCAGTTTTCAATCGTACTGGATCATTGTAACAAATCACATTGTATACAGCCTGAAATTTGAAAGAATACAACATCACTATTAACCCAGATCATATCTAAAAGCAAATACAACAAAATGTAGTTTCTGGTTTCTCCCAATGATAATAAGAAAATTCCATTGTTTTTTTGCCCATAAATATCTTTATTGATGACTAATGATGAAGCATTCTATATCATTAATAAAGAAAGAAGTGTTGTAAATATCCTATATTTCCAAAGATTCAGACATGATGAAATTTTATGCACAGAGATTGATAAGGGGACTTCTCCAAGATTTTGGTGTCTCTTATAATGCTAGCTATCAGAAATGGCAATAGAGGACCCGATGTGAAAACACAGCAAATCCTTCACTCTCTTTAAGAGAAAAACCATATTTATACTAGACGGAGTCTGGTGGCTATTAGTAAATTAAGGAGAAATATGCATTACTGCCTCCTAGGTAATCTTCAACTCAAAGTAAAACCGAAGCAGAACCAATGGCTCTTTATGTTAGTATAAATATAACTATGTCCTTCTTCATCTATGCCATGGAGATCATTCAAAACTTAAATAAAGAGATTATGGCTTCATTCATTTGTCTGCTACATGACAACAAAAACTAGGTTGACCTGCCAAGCAAGTAGGTAATGAAGCTTGAACTGTTCTTAGGATATGAATATTTCCATATGGTCTTAGCTGCTTTGATAATAATTAAAGTTAGGGCTAAGACAAAAATGTTACTAGTAACTAGGTAAATTCAAAATCCAATTAACAAACTGCTGCAAATAAGGAACGATGGAAACAGGAGAGCGGGTGCATCATCCTCCATGATGCTTCAAACTTTTAGGTTTTCGATATTTATATAACAAAAACAGGCAAAAGAAGACGTCTTGATATCCGATAAGCTGTGTAATATGTTAATTGTCTTTCAACCGTAGAACTCTACAAGTTAATTTATCCAGAGTGAGCGAAGGAAATACTAGCCATTTTCTTTTTCCTTGGGTCTCGGAAAGCCAATTCAGCTAGATCTTTCTGTGGGACAAGCTTTGCTGTTGGCATAATTTTAGACAGAAAGGTCAAAACCTTCAAAACCGGTTCTGGAGGAGTTACATCATCTGCAATCTTAGCAGCAATAAAGTTTAAATCAATTGAATGTCAAAACAGAACGTTCCTAATACAGAATGCGAACTTCAGAAGTTATAAAATAGCTGAACAGTTCAGATATAGCATGGTATTTTAACATCATCTTATGCCAGTTCAAAGACAGATCTTATTACACAGTTATTATAATTCTTCGAAGATGATGTGAAGAAAATGCAATGGCAACCAATCAAAGATCCTCAGTGACTAGCAAAAGCAAGAAAACTTATGATTTGCACAATGTCTGTTCATTCAATTCCAAGTCTTGTTGAAATAGGAGTTTTTCACAAGATTCAAAAACGTTTGCTTTCTTAACTTTCTAACATCAGAGATCTTTCAGGCTATTCAATCAAGTTTCATGCAAGCATCAGCACACTTCAGAGAAAAGCTAGACAAAGTACATTTCGGTTGTTTTTTAAGACCATGGTAGCCAGGAGAGAATTCAGTAAAATCAAACAGATGACAGAATAATTACTCTCTATGCGCAGGGAGCTTCGACTAATAAGTCAGAAGTAATACTGATGCCTGAGGGATGGGGACCTGTTCTACATGCCTGATGCCCCCAGCCTGATAGTCTTTAAGTGTTTTGGTATAGCCAAAACAAAATAGGCTGCCCTTCATATCCACAAAAATGGGAACAACCAGGAAGCTGAGACTGCAGAACTGCAATCTACATTCTTTCACTGCAGTGCAGTCTTATGTTAAATGTAGTTAAATTGATGATTGAAAGATCCCGATAATATTTCTCCAGGAAAAAGTAGCCCTATAATTTCCCCTGAAAACATTTTAAGTTTTCACTTTCTACAAGCATCAACCTGTTCCTTTCTTTCCACTTCAATTTCTAGGGATTCAGTACATTAAACTTCCAATGATTGTTAAGTTACTTCTGGGATGCTGCTTATGTTCATATAAAACAATTTATATGCTGTAAATAACTTATAGATGGTATACTCTAGAACCTATATCTGATAACTTCTTGCGATTGTTGTTGTTGCTCTTCTTCTTCTTCTCTCCCTCTCTCTCCAGTATAAACATCACTAACCTTTACTTTTGCTAGGTCAAAAGCTTAAAGAATAAGTATGTTTAAATTCAAGTTTAATAAGTAAGCAATTATTTTTATTCTTTCTTTTTGTTGAGTTATAAATTATTATTCATGGGGTATTGAGGTTTGTTCATGTATATTTACCTAGCATTTAGGAAGAAGAACTTGTAAACCAATTGAGTGGTGCACACATTTATACTCTTTAAATAGAACTTCTTACAATCTTATGGATCCACAAGAATCAAATCTATCTAAGGAAGAATGAGGAACTTACTTTACACATTGGCGCTACAAGGATTATTCCATCCCATCCTTGTGGATCCTTCAAGTGAACTTTGAGAGTAACAGCTCCACCCATGGACTGTCCCAATATGAAGAAGGGCAATCCTCTAGATTCAGGTCTTTCTGATAATCAATAATATAAAGCAAAATCACAACAGCTTCTCAAATTAACCACTCCAATGTAAAAGTGCAAAATGTATGATGATTGATTGCAAAACAAGGCAATTCCAGGTACTATTTTCCCACCTTTGATTTTTGCATATTGTTCAATGACATTGTCAGCTAATTCATCAAAGCTATAGATGTAACCGTGCAATCCTTCAGAGAGACCGAAACCTGGATGATCAATAGCATAAACACCATAGCCGGATGCGGCAATGAACCTAGCAATGCCTGTAATCCCAAATTATCCATGCATTAAATAAAGTCGTTGTACATGGCTCAACTACTGAAACAAAATAAAATATAAGCCCATGAAGTGTGAAGAATTTAAATTTATTCTATGAAGAGACACAATCAACAAACCTTCAAAGAAGAAAGTGCAAGTATCACCATATCCATGGCAAAAACAAACAGCACCCTTAATCTTAACTCCTGGTTCTGGCATCCAGCTTCTAAAGAAAATCTCCAGTCCCTTTGAATTCCTTTCAATCCACTACGAACATCAAGAAAACATAATTAAGTTCCAATAAGTAAGCATTTATAGTGGTAAATTAAAAGAAGAAAAAATTTTCCGCTTGGCTTGGGATGATATTGACGACAAAGTTCCTTTATGGGTCATGCCACACTTAGACTGGAGGACATAGCTTGGAGATTCTGAGTAACATCGAAAGAGTACTCCGAACTTCAGTTAAGTTGTCGCCTTTTTTACTTGCAACACACAATTAACCCATATTTTTAAAACTTAATTTGGAAAAATTTTCCATTCTTTTACTCGCTTACCACTTTCTATGCATACAAGGGTTCTGCAATTTAGACAGAATTTAAAGTATCTCATTGTAGTACAGTGAGCTATTTTCCCTTCCTCTCTTCATTTTCTGGGTAAAAACAAAACAGAGCAACTCGAATAAATAAACAAACGCTTACCTCCTCTGTTCTCACACCAGCAGGAGCCATCTACCATCAGTCAATAAAATTCCCCCCATCCCGCCAAAAAAGATAAAAACACAAACATCAGTTACAATTTCCATTAGAAAAGCTAAAATATTCAAAAGATGAAACTGCTAATTCAGCTACAATCGTTACCAAGTCAAACAGACCTTGAACAAGCAATGATCAAGCTGCTGCTGCACTTGGATGAAAGCAGATCGAACTCTTCTACGAGCGGCAGCATAGTCAAGATTCTGTGAAGCAATCAAGTTCAACTCTTCACTGACTCCCTCAATCTTCTTCTTGCCCGCAGCTGTTGCGACAGTTAGGCGACGAGTTCGTTGAAGTGGAAGTGCTGGAGTGGGAGAAATGGTAGGAATCGAAAGCTTTGGTGGATGAGAGGATGGAGAGTTGAGTTTTCGGGGAAGAAAAGGTGACCAGGATCTGAAAGTCAGAGAGAGTTCCATGGTTAATGCCTCAATAGGATTTGGCGGTGGAGCGTGGAACTCAAAGCCGCTGTCAATGTAGTAGTATTATAAGATGGATGAAAAAGCAAAGCCAATTTGCACGTTACTTTTCCTGCCCAATTCTTAAACTTTTGCTCGAATGCTCGTGGTCCACGTGCGTCTTTGTTTTATATCTGGTCAAATATATTTTATTCAACCTTTCGAATCAAAAAGGTCCCGGGAACTTTCATCGATTAGAAATTCCAACAATTTCATCAAAAAATCCTTCTGTCATATATCGTATGGGAAGTGATTGTTACTCCATGGGCTAGCTGAGGGCTGATTGATTGATATTATGGTAGTTGGGGTTTTGATTTTATTCCTCCAAATAGATCGGTCGGTCTTTCTACACCTAGCGAAACGCATTGGTGAAAAGAAGTGAAAAAACTTGTAATCCGGCCAAAGTAAAAAAAAAAAAAACCCAAAGTAGATTATTTCCTCTGCGACTTTTGGATTTTGTTTCCGGCTACCAAGAATTGGCTGCAAGTTAATTGCTGCTTTGTCTCATTTAACAACAAAGCATCAGTCAGCAGCCGAAAAAGAAAATCCAAAACAAAACAAGAAAATAATTGTATTTGTCATATGTCATCTTAATAATTACGGTAACTTATTAATTTCTTTAATGAAGCCTAACGGATATGTGGTCACTTTGTGAAATTTAAATATTTCACTATCCATGTTCTATATTATAATAATAACAATAATTTAATATTATCAACCACTTTTACTGAATGGTTCAAATGTCAAGCCAACAAAATTTCGGCTCAAAACCAGGCTGCCTCCACTCCTCATCTGCTATTTTTCATTGTAAAAAACCTTTGGAATGTAGTTAATAATCTGTTCACTGCTCCTTCCCTTTGCTTTCTGCAAACACTTGTTGATATTTTCTTCTTTCTTTATTCTTATCATTTGAGCATGAAACATTATGTGCATGTGTTCCACGTCATAGCAAATGAAGCATGCCCATGCTAGCTTCTTAAGAGCTTAGATTTTCTAATGTCCCACAATATATTTTAGAGCTACTTTTCTATACAAACGAGCGGTGAGAATATTAAGTTTTACAAGTGTGTTTGTAAAAATATGTATCTCTTTAATAGTTTTGTTAATTTTTTTAATTTTTAATTATAAACTAAAGAAAATGTGATAAGCATTTAAACTCCTTTTGTGAATTGTCCCACATTAAATATAGGAGAGTTTTGTGTTTCTATTCTCTTTGTATGGCTGCTTAAAGCTGAAAATAATGGTGTTCTTTTTCTTTCTTTTGACATAAAACACCACCAAAAAAAAAAGATACTTTTCGTGTTAGGGTTAATTTTCCCTCGCTTTAAAGTCTATACAATCCTCACTAATTCTTTTAACAATGGTAAATGTAACCCTCACAACCTCTCTCTATAAGTCCTGTTGCCAATCATATATAACGAGGCATAACATCCTTGCTATTGATTTCATATTGTTTTTTATGATAAAAAATATGTCCTCATTGTGGTCTAATGTGTGTGCTTTAGTGGCCCACGTAATATATCATCAAGTAGACTTAGCCTTGAAATGAAGTAGATCCAAGATGAAATCCGTTAAGGCCCAGCTAGCTATGTTAATCGATTAAGCATGAAGTGTTAGTTGATTAAAATTTTGAAGCTGTGAACTAGAGACCAACTCAAACAAAGGTTAGTCGATTGAACGTGTGCGGAAGCATTTCATAGATATAGAATTCTTATGAAAACTACTTCGATCAATCAAAATTCCTTTGTCATGCGATTAACTGGAAGGATGAAGTTTAACATCTCAACTGGTTAAACGAACTAATGAAGAATCTTATGCTTATAAGCTAGGATGTTGGATAACTCATCAATCATGTGAACCTGCAAGTTTGCTGTAAAATTCTGTTAGCTCCAATGGATAGATTTCCTCAAACAGCAACAATTTTCAAAAACTATTTATAAGGAAAAAAGGAGGAGGTTCATAGTATCTAGAGAGAGATCAGAATAGAACGAATTGGGTTGGAAAGTATAAAGAACTCTTTTTTAGTTTATCTTTACTCTTTGAGCTTAACTTTAATCTTTAGGAAAGAATGTTTATGTGTTGTAAAAGGTGTTATCAGACTAGTTGGTGATCAAGTTGCATATTTGTAAAAGTTGCTTTGGTTCATAAGCGTGGAATTGCTCACTAGTTTTTTTTTTTATTGTTAGAAGCACTTAAAGGGTTGTATGAACTAGGAATAGAGCTTAGGATATAGCTAACCTTGTAAAAGCTTGGTGTAAGTAATTAATTACACTTTAATTTAGTGAAGTTAAGATTAAAAATCCTTGGCAAGGGTTGTAAAGGTAATGGATTGTGAAAAACCCAACTTAAATAGGAGATCATTGGTAAATCCCTGCCCTTGCTTGTTTGATGGCATTCCCCTTTTTTGGTCAGCAGCATCTTTGGTCCTTCGTCTTCTTTTGTAGAGCTGTCAATATGGGCTGGCCTGGCTTAACCCGACCCAAGCCCTTATGGGTTGAGAAAATATGGGTTGGGCTAGACCCACCCATTTTTTATATGGGCCATCAAAACATCAACCTAGCCTACTCCTTGTTAGCCCATGGGCTGGGTTGGGCTAGCCTATTTTTATTTTTTTTTAAAAAAACTCATTTTTATAATTTTTTCTAACAAATTTTCTATTAATAAAATTGTTCTTAGATTTAATTCATAAATTGAATAATAAAAACATGTTACAAATAAATAAATTACACCAAATATAAAAAAAAAAATAAATTACATAATAAAGTTGAAATCTTTAACACAAACTACTATCCCATAAACATAAGTCTATAACTAAATAATAAAAATTTCAAAACTCATTTATATCCTCCTCAATCCTCATTCTCAAGTAAAACATTTAAATCTTATTTAGACAACAATGATTTCTCAAGGTCTGAATTATTATTAATTTATCATCTAATATTCATTACCATAAAAGAAAAAGAGATAATAAGTTTTAATCTAAATTAAAATTTTTAATTTGACAAGTAAAGATTAAAGACATTGAAATATATAAAATAAGCAATGCCACTGGTAACTAAATTATTAATTTTACATAATTAAATATATAAAATTATTTAGTTAAATATATAAAATTATTAAATTAATAAAATTATTTTTTTTGACCCATAAGGCTGGCCCGCCCCAGCCCACCTCAGCCCACTGATTTGGTGGGCTGGCCCATTTAGGCCCTGTTCTAATATGGACCTAAATTTTTTAGCCTAGCTTGTCCCATATTTAATAGAAAATGGGCCAACTCAATGGGCCAAGCCCATTTTGACAACTCTATTCTTCTGTTGCTGGTGGATGGAATGGCTTTTGTTCCTTTTTGTAGTCTCTTTTGTGAAAAGTTTGGTTTCCTTTTCTTAGCTATGTATAGTTACGTTATATGCCCTGTCTTTTCTTCTAAGGGTTGTTTCTAGTTTTTCGGTTGTTTGTGGTAGGGGATGTCCAGTGTTTGGTTTAGTATGATGTTTTGGCTGTTTCCCATAGCCTTTGAAAGGTCGGTCCTTTTTTGCATAGTTCACCAGAGCTTATTCTAGGTTTTTTTTTTTGATAAGTAGTGCTTATTCTTGGTTGATAATGAATTCTATTTTTTTAAATGGGTAAATCCTTAGCTGAGCATGTAAGTTACTCTTTTAAACCAATATTTTGAACTTTCATCTTTGAAAATTATATGTATTTTTAGCTAGTAAATTTATTTGAAAGATGGTAGAGAGAGATAAGTCAAATGCGTGTATTTTAAAGTAAATTTACATTTTGTGACTAGAGTATGGATACTTACAAGGCATTGATACTTGCTACTTAGAAGATTTTTAAAAGGTATTTTAAACAACAAGTATTGATACCTTTTTCAAAGGTATCGATATTTGAAACCCGAAAAAGAAAGTATCGATACTTGAGCCCAAAGTACCGATACCTATCATCGTTTTTGCAAAAATAAAAGGAGGTAAAATAGTAATTTGACTTTGAAAATTTCCTCTTTAGGTTAGTTTTGACCTTCCCCCCTCAGTTTGGTCACCTTTTTTACCTCAATTTCTCTAGCTTCACATTTTTCCTTCAACTTTTAACTTTCACTTCTTTCTCACTCATCAATCACCTTTTGCACATGACTCCAGCTTTGGATTCCATTTTCTAAGCAACAAGGGTAAGATTTCAACTATTAATCTTTACAAATCTATAGTTTTCAATTCTGATTTTCTTGTTTTAAAATAGATTTTGTTACTCTCTCTAAGGGTTAGCTATTTCCACTTGTTTCTCTCTATATAAGCTCACCAAGGTAAGAAAGACATAGATTTAAGTATTTATAGCATTTAATTTACCTTTGAACAGTAGATGAAGTGTTGGAAGTTAGATTAGAATGTTATTAAGTTGGGTTATGCTAGCTTATTTTCAATTTATGAAATTTATAACCTTAAGTTGAGTTAACGATGAACACTTGAATGTTAAAGGAACTGTAGAAGCTCCAAGAATTAATTTGAAATGAAGTATTGGTGTGTCGATTGGGTGCTAGCAAAAGGATTATTTTGAGGTGAGTAGATACGACATTTTAAGTATTTTGATAATAATATATATATATATATAAGAGCATGTTTATTTAACACTATGGTTTACATGATTCTCATGTCATTTTCCACAATTTGTGAAAGGTTAAAAGATGAATTGAATGTTTCAAAAGAGTTTTCAAATGTATCTATGTTATGTAAATATATATATATATATATATATATATATATACTATGTTAGATAAATAAGCTTAAAGTAAAGTAACCAAGAGAGAGATAGGGGTGAACTGGTTATTAAATAAAAACCCATTTTTTATGATTTTCAACACAGTTGAAGTAGAAAGAGTAGTGTTATAAGAATAGAGTATAAGCTAAGCAACTAAAGTGTAGACAAGTAAAGAGTACTCAGCCAAGTTTTTATAGAGGTTTGGCTTTTGATGCCTACATCCTCTCCCTTGATAGCACAAGGAGTTCGAATCTACTATCAACTAGCCTTTTAACACAGGATTAGGCATAACCTTTACAACCGAATGTTTTTTCAAGGATCAAGCACAAC